TCTAAAGGTAGCTAATAAATAGTAAATGAGACAACAATAAAAGGAACACCAGGAATTAACAAGGTTCGACAAACTTTTGTTTTCTTTTGCCTACTCCTCGGACACAACCAACCAATAATTATTTCTAAAGGTAGCTAATAAATAGTAAATGAGACAACAATAAAAGGAACACCAGGAATTAACAAGGTTCGACAAACTTTTGTTTTCTTTTGCCTACTCCTCGGACACAACCAACCAATATTTATTTCACTACAAGAGAGAAAGAAGATCAAATGCATTTGAAGATGATAAGGCAAGTGAGAGGTGTGTTACAAATGAATTAGGAACTACCTATTTATAGGAGTGAATTCTTCCTATTGATGTCATCCATGACATCACAATGTGTCAAAATGTCAAGATTTACCTTGTGAAACCATTTTATGGTTCACCTAAATTTCACCTACAAAAGATGTTATCTTGACTTTTGTACCAATGAAGAATTATCTTCCTAACTACCAAATCTTCACATTAATTCATCTTTGAATCTTGTCAAATTTTACAGTATGTTCTCTTTTCTCTGAGCTCATATCTAGGATGTCCAAAGCAAAAGAATGATTTTTGATGACTATATGTTGAGGTTTCTGGTGTTGTTGTTTTAGTGTAGGAGTTATGAGCAAAATCTAAATATAGTTTATGTGTTAGAGTTTAGTTGTAAATGTTGTTCAAAGATAGAAAGAATGTATTTTGGTTAAAATATAGCATCTTTGTCATAGAAATTATGGCGATAGGTGTTTATGACAACTTTGTGTTTTTCATGTGTACCTGTGAAAATGGTTATGCTACTAATCAAAATATATAAAATGGGGAAAAAGAAATGTCTACACACTTCCAAACAAGTTTATTAAGAATTTTATTGATTCAATTTAATGAATACTGCCCAAAGCTTTTGCTTTCTCTCTCAAGATGAATTTTTTGACCTTGCCAATTGAAGTCTTGGGTAAATCTTCAAAAAGAACTGTCATAGGTGCCATGTAATGAGGCAAATGATCTCTACAAAACTTGATTATTTCTTGTGCACTAATTTCATCAAATCCTTCCTTTAGTTTTATGAATGCACATGGTGTTTGTCCCCATTGATCATCTGGTCGTGCGACCACAGCTGCTTCAACAACTCCTGGATGACTATATAAAACTCTTTCCACTTCAAGTGTGCTTATGTTTTCACCTCCAGAAATTATAATGTCTTTCAATCGATCCTTAATTTCTATGTACCCATCTGGATGTTTCACCGCAAGATCACCACTATGAAACCATCCACCTCTAAAAGCTTCTTCGGTTGCTTTAGCATCTTTCAAATATCCACTCATCACAGTATTTCCTCTTAACACAATCTCACCAATGCTCTTTCCATCAGCTGGCACATTTTCCATGGTCTCGGGGTCTCTAACGTCAACTTTTTCAATACAAAGATGTTGCACCCCTTGTCTTGATTTAAGCACAGCTCGTTCATCGAGGGGCAAAGAATCCCACTCAGGCTTCCATAACGAATATGTAGCTACACCATAAGCCTCTGTTATTCCATATCCATGAGTTACTCTAAAGCCAAGCTCCTCCATTTTGGAAAGGACATGTGGAGGTGGTGATGATCCACCGGTAAGTATTTCAACCTTATGTGTAAGTGGCTTCCTATCATTTAACGGAGAATTTGCTATCATATTTAAGACAGTTGGTACTGCACCCATATGTGTAACCTTATTGAGAGAAATACTTTCAAATATATTTTTTGCGGAGACATTCCTGAGGCAAACATTTGTGCCACCAAGTGCAGCCATTCCCCAAATCAGGCACCATCCATTGCAGTGAAACATTGGAACTGTCCAAAGGTATGTAGGCATCGGACCCATTCCACAAACAAGAAATATAGCAATTGCATTGAGATATGCGCCTCTATGATTGTACACAACTCCTTTGGATGATGACGTTGTGCCGGAAGTATAGTTCACACTTATAGGGTCCATTTCAGTTTTTGGCCACCTTATTGTAAAGTTGTTACTCCCACTTGCTAAGAGATTTTCATATTCGTGGATGTAAGATGTCTCAAGTAAAGGATGAGAGGAATTTTTAGATTGTGGGATTAGCACAAGAATCGGTGGTATAATTGTTTTGTCTTTTGAAAGAAGACCGAGTGCCCCTTGAGCAATTTGGAGTAACTGATGATCAACAAATATGATCTTCGCTTCTGAATGTCTTAGCAAACCAGCTATCGTTGATGAATCATGGCGTGTATTTAATGTACAAAGAACCGCTCCTGCCATTGGTACTGCAAAATGTAGCTCCTGTATTGCTGGTATATTAGGAGCCAGAGTTGCAACATGCAAAAGTTCAATTTATACATGAAAAGTTGAATTAAAACATTTCACACATTTGAAGAGGAACACTAAATATTAAGTCTTACCACATCTCCCCTAGAAATGCCAAGGTGAACTAAAGCAGAAGCAAGTTTCAGACACCTAGAATATGTCTCTTCCCAAGTATACTTCACACAAGACCCAAACACAACCGAAGTTCTATGGCTGAAAACATTTGCTGCTCGTTCCAAGAAACTTATCGGTGTCAATGGAACATAATTTGGGGGACTTGTAACGACACCCTCCAGTAATCTATGGGATTCATCCGTCGTTTCAATGCCCCCAGCAAGTTTGCACAACTGCTGGACCCTGTGAGTGTGTGCGGGTAATTGGACTGATCGGTTAAAGAACCTCAGTAACATATTCGAGCTTTTGAAGATTTTATTCATGGTGCAGCAGCCTAATAACTATGCAAATATTTTGTGCATCAGATAGTTAATAAGAAAAGTTGAGTAATCAAAGCCATTCAATGAATTGTTAGGTGAAGATTGAAAATTGCTATCGAGACAGGTCCACCGTAAATTAAAGGTGGTACCAGGAAGCAATGCATAGTCAACAAATCTATACCTATCTAGCAAAATTTTCCCTCTTGGAGAAGCTTGAACACAACATACATTTGCTACTTTTATTGCTATCACATACCCTGTGTTGACACCCAATTTTGTACCCTTCTTTCTTCTAATTTATTGTTTTTCGAGCTTCTAATTTGATAATCTATCAAAATTATCTTTTTCACAACTTATTTTTAATATTACGCCTATTTATCTACTAAAATTATAGGTTTTATTATCGATATGATTATTATCACTTTTTACACCTCTTTTCTTAAATAGTCTATTGTTGTTATTTTATTTCAAATTTTGTATTTATTGAATTAAGTATAAATCTATTTTCTTGTATCTATATTTTATATTAGCGTAAAGTCGTAATATATTTTCTTTTATAAACTAGTAATTGTCATATCATAATATATATTATATTAGTTATTAAGTTAGAAAGCCCCAAAATAATATAAAAGAAGAAAGGAAAAAGGGTGAGAAATTCCGCCCAAAAGCCTCAAATAAGACCAAAACTTTCGGCCCATATTTTATATCAAAATCTGTCCAAAATAGCCCAAATATAGGCCCAACCCAACATTTTAATCATCAGCTGAACCTAATAAGACTTACCCATCTGCCCCTTATGTTTTCTTCTCCCCTTTCCTCTTTTGGAGAAGACTCCATTAATCCTCAACCAAGGACAAAAATCACCAGCCTTGTTTTGGTGAAATTTTCATCTTTTTCTTCTACAATGTCAGACGTCCCTTTCTTCCTCCCCTCATTTACATCTCTCTTCTTTAATTTGGTCAAGAAAATGCCAAAGAACTTTTGAGATTTCAGAGAAAGGATCATCAAGCAGAGATTTCAAAATTCAAACGACTATTTTGTTTCTTAAAATCCCGCCCAAACTTGAGCCAAGAACCCTAGTTCATTGCTATAAATACCGACACATTCCACTTGTTTTGGGAGGATTTTTTTTTTGGATATTGATAATAGCCTTTGCACTCATTTTTAACAAGAAGTTTTCCTGCCTCCATAGCAATTCTAACTACTGTTCTTTGCTCTAAATATTGCCTTTGCATCCCTTTTTTATCTTGGCTGAGATTCTGTTGCTTAAGCTTGCTCGAGTTCGATTTGTTTGAAAATAGACCTTCGACCAAAGCACCTTGTTCACTGCTCCGCAACTTTTTCAAGCTTGCTCGAGTTCGATTTTTTTGAAAATAGACCTTCGACCAAAGCACCTTGTTCACTGCTCCTCAACAGGTGATTTCGCCCTCTCTCTTTCTCTGTTTTGTTTCTATGATGCTATGTGTGCTCTAGTAGACTGATATGCACTCTAATAAATTGATATGTCGAGACTGTTTTTTGTGCTTAGTTTAGCTTAATGAAGTAATTTTTTAGAGTATGATTATGTTCTGTTTGACATTCAAAACCATTTTTTTAATTATGTTTCAAACATTAAGAATAAAATTATTGCGTTCGAGTTGATATATATATATGTTTCAAACATTAAGAATAAAATTATTGTGTTCGAGTTGGTCCGTGCGCATTAGTTTCTACGCCAAGTTACTAATCTGTGATATATATATATATATGCATTCGTGTGTATAAAAAGGGGATTGCTTAAATGATCTGTTTTTATTTTTGATAAAATATGTATATTTGCACCTTTTGGATTACAGATGCATTACCTGTAACTAAAAAATAAAAATAAACTATAACAATGCATGAGTTTAAGTCATCTCTTCTACTCTGTTAGTATATTTGTACTTATAGATATATAGGTTTGTTCCCCTTTAAGTTTATATATATGACATTTTAAAATCTGAAAATTTATGCATAAGTTTTATCCAAGTCTTTAAGAAGTAGTAATATCTTTGTAACTTGACTATGAATTAAAAGTTGTTGTTGTAGTGACTTTGAGCTTTATTCGGCATTTGTGTATTTTTCACATTTTGGGTAGTATATTCATTGGCGCTATTTAACTCGACTCTATATCTAGTTTATTCAATATCGAGTAAGGTTGGATTGTTTTACTAATCTCTTTTTACTTTCTTTACATGTACACTTTGGAGCAAAATTGAGTCTTGATTCAAGACTCTAGCAAATTTCAAGTTTTATAGACTTGACGTTATCCTCATACCCGCACATGGAGTCTTCACTACATTTTTACTATTCCGAATGGCAAGCAAAATAAGCGAGCCTCGCTTGGAGTCACTCATGGCTATTTATATTTTAGCATTAACTTGTTTATTTATTTTTCTTTATATTTTATACTTGCTTATGTGACTTGAATATGTTTTATTTTTGAATTCTCAAATAGGTAACATAATATAGATGTTTGGGTTTGGGTATCTTTAGCTAGAAACAAACATTTATTAGTCGCTTTACCTTTTATAAACTTCATTTGGCAAACCTTTTTTTAAATACTTCTTTTTGCGCCACTTTAAACTCATTAATTTATTAAGTTTTGGTCAAACTTGGCAATGTCTTTCAACAAAGAAAATATTTTGTCTAAACTCTTATTTTTCTAAAACTTGTTCTAAAGGGAGCATCTTGTCGGTTAATGAGCAAATGTCTATTTTTTAATTACCCATTTCTAGCCATGGATTTGTCTAAATTGATCTAAAGAAATTACTCTTTCTTAAATCTTTTTCATTCTAATAAATTGCAAAAGAGCTTTTAAAATAAAAGATGTTTTCCAACTTGGTTATTCAATTACTTAATCTTTGGCACTCATATCTTTCTTTTAAATTTAATTAACCTAAGTTTGGCCGGTTAACCGCTTTTAACGGATCTTAAAGGATGCCTTACCCCTTCCCTTTAGGATAAATTAGAACCCTTACCTAGAATCATGCAAGTCAAGTAGACCATTTAATTGAAGTCATTTTAGTATTACTTAGTTAAATATTTAGGTGTCCTAATTCACCATAATTAATTAGGTGGCGACTTCTTAAGTTAATAATTTGGAAATCACCAAAATGTCGTACACCGTTTTGACCTCGAGTTAAAATGGGGTATCACACCCTGTACTCTTAGCTTTCTCAAATATCCTTTTTTTCCTCTCACTCCATATACTTCATGTATAAACTCAGCTAACATCATTTTTACGACGCCTTGGCAATTTGAGTTCATTCAGCTGCATTGGTTGAACATAATCAGAAAACTCCTGAAGTTTCATAGTTGTGACTGGTGCACCATTCAGTCTGCTTTGCGCGGATAGTATGGCGTTTAAATCTCCCCAGATCAGTCATGGTTTTTCCCACTGCTACGTCAAGACATCTAACTGTGACCATAACCTTCATATCTATTCAGAGCATATAGGATTTTGCTAGAAAATGTAGAAAAATTGGCCTCTTTTGCTAAAGAGAAAGGCTCCCTCTCTGTCTTTTGTGGTTTTCTTGTATACCTATTGAAATGGTCATTTACTATTCAAGAAAGGAAAAAATGGGAACATTACAAGAAAAACGTTGTTATTGAAATGTTTGAAACAACGAACAATTTACATAGAAAATCCAGATATTTTAAAGTGAACAATTCAGTGTTCCATAAAAAATAAACAATTTAATGCTTCATACATAGTTTTTGATATAGAATATGCAATGTTGAAATAGTAAACAACGAAGAACCAAAGTAAATATACACACATTTAATTATATGCTAACAACTTGCAGCACTTATCTTTTCAGTGGAAAATAGACTGCCCAAAGCTTTTGCTTTCTCCCTCAATATGAATTTTTGTACCTTGCCAGTTGATGTTTTTGGTAAATCTTCAAAAAGGACCGTTCGAGGTGCCATGTAACGAGGCAAATGATCTCTACAGAAGTTGATTATCTCTTGCTCAGTAATTTCATCAAATCCTTCCTTTAGTGTTATGAATGCACAAGGTGTTTGTCCCCATTGATCATCTGGTCGTGCGACCACAGCTGCTTCGACGACTGCTGGATGACTATATAATACTCTCTCCACTTCGAGTGTGCTTATATTTTCACCTCCAGAAATTATAATGTCCTTCAATCGATCCTTAATTTCTATGTACCCATCTGGATGTTTCACTGCAAGATCACCACTATGAAACCATCCGCCTCTAAAAGCTTCTTCGGTTGCTTTAGCATCTTTCAAATATCCACTCATCACAGTATTCCCTCTGCACACAATCTCACCAATGCTCTTCCCATCAGCTGGCACCTTTTCCATGGTCTCGGGATCTCTAACATCAACTTTTTCTATACAAAGATGTTGCACCCCTTGTCTTGATTTAAGCGCAGCTCGTTCCTCAAGGGGCAAAGAATCCCACTCAGGCTTCCAAAAGCAAATCGTAGCAGCACTATAAGTTTCTGTTAGTCCATATCCATGGGATACTCCAAATCCGAGTTGCTCCATTTTGGAAAGAATTTGTGGAGGCGGTGGTGATCCGCCTGTCATTATTTCGACCTTATGGGGAAGTGGCTTCCTATCATTTGGTGAAGAATTTGCCATCATACTCAAGATAATTGGTGCTGCACTCATATGTGTGACCTTGTTGAGAGAAATACTTTCAAATATATTTTTTGCGGAGACATTCCTAAGGCAAACATTTGTGCCACCAAGTGCAGCCATTCCCCAAATCATGCACCATCCATTGCAGTGAAACATTGGAAGTGTCCAAAGGTACGATGGCATCGGACCCATACCATGACAGAGGAAAGTAGAAATAGAATTGAGATATGCACCTCTGTGATTGTACACAACCCCTTTTGGTGACGACACTGTGCCAGAAGTATAATTGATACTGATAGGATCAAATTCACTTTTTGGCAATCTTATTGTAAAATTGCTACTCCCACTTGATAAAAGATTTTCGTATTCATGAATGTCATTGGTCGGAGAGGAATTCTCATATTCAGGTATTAGCACAAGAATTGGTGGTTTAATTTTGTCTTTTGAAAGAAGAGAGAGTGCTTGTTGAGCAACTTGGAGCAATTGTTGATCAACAAATATTATCTTCGCTTCTGAATGTTTCAGTAAATGAGCTACCATTGATGAATCAAGACGAGTATTTAATGTACAAAGAACTGCTTCCGCCATTGGTACTGCGAAATGCAGCTCCTGCATTGCTGGTACATTGGGAGCCAAAGCTGCAACCTGCAAAAATTGTTCAAATCTATATTATACAATCACGAAAAGAAATCTTGAATTTGAACAAAATGTTAGAAAAAATTGAAATCTTACCACATCTCCCCTTGAAATTCCTAGCTGAACCAAAGCAGAAGCAAGTTTGAGACACCTAGAGTGTGTCTCTTCCCATGTATACTTCACACAAGACCCAAACACAACGGAAGTTTTATGGCGATAAACATCTGCTGCTCTCTCCAAGAAACTTATTGGTGTCAATGGAACATAATTAGCGGAATTCGTAACAACACCCTCCAGTAATTTTCTGGACTCAGTTTCAAAGTCACCAGCAAATTGAGACAGCTGGCGGACTCCGTAATTGCTTCGGTTGAGGCCGCCATTAAAGAACCTGAGAGCCACTTTGGAGGTTTTGAAGAACTTATTCATGGTAGAATATAATGCAGAGGACAAGAGACAGAGAAGCCTTAAACAGCAGTATTTATATATATATAGATAGATAGATGAAGTAATGAGGTGATCGTGAGGAAATGTTTGTTTAGTGGGGCAGCATAACATCACCACAGGAATAATTAATTATTTAAAAGTTGATCAACGCTATAAATATTGTGAAGAAAATACTTATACTCGATCTTGTAATGAAGATGGCAGATATTTAATTTATAATTAAGCCTCTGAGCCAACCTGGCTCCCCTAAAAAGTCAGCTACTACCGGGCTGGGTTGGTTGTGAGTAGAAAAAACTATCTTACTAGACATACATTCATACCATATATACTAATTTTATCTATATTTTCAAATAACTATATATTTTACCACTAATTAAGAATTTTCTATCATATATTGAGGAAGATACACCTAGATACATTTATTTTTGCTACTATATTGTTAGATCAAGAAGGATTTTGATGATTGACAAATAAGGAAACAAATGAAAGGAGCAGGTTGCGTCTACGTGTTCCTTTCAAACCGAATCCAATTGGGATAAGGAGAACGTCACCACGCGAACTAGAATTTTATAAAGTGTGGAAGGATTGCTTTTTTCAACAAGAAACTAGCTAGTGCAAAAAGTTTCCTTTCATAAAGAATTCCTTCAAGGAAGAGGAAACGTGTATAATGCATAAAATCAGTTTGCAAGAATTTCCAAATTCCACACCAAGGCTTTCCTCTCATTACTCTTTCCACGGCAAAGTCAGCATCTTAGCCCGAAGAGCAAGGATTTCTTCCTCTGCGTCTGCTGCTATTGATGTGTCTACTCCCATTGACTCTTTTTGAGTTGGGGCTTTGTGGTATAATTCTTTGCCGAAAGAGGTCTCCGCCGACCCAACGACTTTCCGATGTGATTGACAAGCAGCGGGGCATGGAACGGAGTTTAATTCATCGCGACAGGAGTTCACCAAGTCTAAGAAAGGGCCGGTCATCCAACGGATAAGGAATCACTAAAAAATGTGTTGAAGCAGAGTTGAAGTAGGAAAAGAATTCTTGATCTACTTAGTCTATAAATAGAGCAAGGATCTTCCAACGAAAATTGCGCATTTAAACAGAGAATTACAAGTAGAATACAATCTACTAGAGGGAGTTCATATTTGAGTGATTTCCGATTATGAAGTGCAGCCAACGCAAGGAAACAAGAATTGAAGAACCTTTGAGTTTTTATCGAGTTGTATCTTTAATTCTTTCTAGATCCAGTGAAGTATAAACTAGAGTAGGAATAGAGTCTTCAAGTTGGGGTGACTTAAAGACTTGGGAACATAAACCTTGGAGGGTTTGTGTTGGAGTTTAGGAATTAGAGTTAGCTCCTAGGATTGCAAGAGTTGTAATCTGAATTCATAACTTGAAATGGGGTCGACAATCTAGTTGGTAGTTGACGTCTAGGAATTAGAGTTTATAATTCCTTAGGTTACATAGGTTTGTAATCTTTAGTTGAGGCTCAGAATTTAATGAAGTGGAGTTAAATCCTACAAAGGTGTAGGTCGTGGTTTTTTTACCCTTTATGGGCTGGGGTTTCCCGCGATAAAATATTGTGTCATTACTTTATTTTCTTTACATAACGTAATTGATGTAATCTGCAAAGTAACATATAGAATATGCATGTTCCTTAGGCAAATCTAGGAGTCAGTATTCCAACATATATACATTAAAATAGAGAGAGGCGAGTGAGATGGGGGAGGGAGGCTAGCAGAGATAGGCATGTGTGTCAAATTTATCATTTTTATAAGCATTTTTTTTAATCTACTCAACACTAAAATAATACTTAAAAGTTAATTTAGCTTAAAATCACTTAAAATAAGTCAATCCAAACAGACTTTATTATTAGCAAACAACACAGATCAATGTAGCAAATATACATGGAAACCTTATAGTTCTTGTATTTAACTTTGTCAACCAAGAAGAAAAGGAGGGCAAACAGAACCCAAGCTACAATAAACGAAAATATGCAGAGGAAAGACACACTGTTACGCGGGGGTAAGTCGCTATAAATGTAAAAAAAAAAAAAATCCAACACCACCCATTATCATTCAAGAACGTTTTGGAAAGTGCAGAGGCGATCTAAGGCAAATATCATTAGTCGTCTTTAGCCGGAAAAAGACTTTTAGGTGTGTAGGTATTTTTACCCAATCTTGATAAAGGCGTATAAGAAACATTAACATTCATTCATGATAATTTCTTGACAAATAACCGCACCCAGAAGAAATCAATATTTCGCAAACTAATGCTTCATACATAGCGTTTGAAACATAATACATTTATTTATAGAGCAGGTTTGAATTGATTTATTTTGAGTAGTTTTGGAGTGTTGAGGATTTTTATGCAAACAACTTATTACACTTTTCTTTCAGGCGTTGAAAAGACTGCCCAAAGCTTTTGCTTTCTCTCTCAAGATGAATTTTTGTACCTTGCCAGTTGAAGTTTTTGGTAAATCTTCAAAAACGACTGCTCGAGGCGTCATGTAATGTGGCAAATGATCCCTACAATATTTGATTATTTCATCTGAAGTTATTTGTTCATATCCTTCTTTCAGCTTCACGAATGCACAAGGTGTTTGTCCCCAATGATCATCTGGTCGTGCGACTACTGCTGCCTCAACAACTGCTGGGTGACTATGTAAAACTCCTTCCACTTCGAGTGTGCTTATGTTTTCACCTCCAGAAATTATAATATCTTTCAGCCGATCCTTAATTTCTATATAACCATCTGGATGTTTCACTGCAACATCACCAGTATGAAACCATCCGCCTTTAAAAGCTTCTTTAGTTGCTTTAACATCTTTCAAATATCCACTCATCACAGTATTCCCTCTGCACACAATCTCACCAATGCTTTTTCCATCAGCTGGCACATTTTCCATGGTATCAGGGTCTATAACGTCAACTTTTTCAATACAAAGACTTTGCACCCCTTGTCTTGATTTAAGCGTGGCTCGTTCTTCAAGGGGCAAAGAATCCCACTCAGGCTTCCACAAGCAACTCGTAGCAGCACTATAAGTTTCTGTTAGTCCATATCCGTGATTCACCCCAAAGCCAAGCTCCTCTATTTTGGAAAGGATCTGTGGAGGTGGTGGTGATCCGCCTGTCATTATATCGACCTTATGGGGAAGTGGCTTCCTGTCATTTGGTGAAGAATTTGCCATCATACTCAAGACAATTGGTGCTGCACTCATATGTGTGACCTTGTTGATAGAAATACTTTTAAATATATTTTCGCGGAGACATGTCTAAGGCAAACATTTGTGCCACCAAGTGCAGCCATTCCCCAAATCATGCACCATCCATTGCAGTGAAACATTGGAACTGTCCAAAGGTACGTTGGCATCGGACCCATGCCATGACAGAGAAAAGTAGCAATAGTATTAAGATATGAACCTCTGTGATTGTACACAACTCCTTTAGGTGATGACGTTGTGCCAGAAGTATAATTAACACTAATAGGATCCATTTCAGTTTTTGGCCACCTTATTGTAAAATTGCTACTCCCACTAGTCAACAGATTTTCATATTCGTGAATGTTAGATACAACATCAAGTACGGGAGGAGATGAATTGTTGGATTCGGGGATTAATATAAGAATTGGTGGTTTAATTGTTTTGTCTTTTGAAACAAGGTTAAGTAGTGCTTGTTGAACAATTTGGAGCAATTGTTGATCAACAAATATTATCTTGGTTTCAGAATGTTTGAGCAAATCAGCTACCATTGATGAATCAAGACGAGTATTTAACGTACATAGAACAGCTCCAGCCATTGGTACTGCAAAATGCAACTCCTGCATTGCTGGTACATTCGGAGCCAGAGTTGCAACCTGCAGCAATAATTGTTCAAATTTAATTATACCAAGAAAATAAATGAATTGTTGAGAAAAGAAAAATCTTAATTACCACATCTCCCCGTGAAATTCCAAGCTGAACTAAAGCAGAGGCAAGTTTTAGACACCTAGAGTGTGTCTCTTCCCAAGTATACTTCACACTAGACCCAAACACAACCGAAGTTCTATCGCGAAAAACATCTGCTGCTCTCTCCAAAAAACTTAATGGTGTCAATGGAACATAATTTGCTGGACTTGTAACAAGACCCTCCAATAATCTTCGGGACTCATCCGTTGATTCAATACTCCCAGCAAGTTGGCGGACCCTCTGAGTGGGTGCGGGTAATTGGACTGATCGGTTAAACAACCTTAGTGCAATATTCGAGGTTTTGAAGAATTTATTCATGGTGCAGCAGCCTAAAAACTATGCAAATATACTTTTATGCAGTAATATATATATTCTTCAATTTAGTGTTAGCATTAATTGAAGAATGAATTTCGTCTGCTACCTAGCCAACAAAACTTAAGGCATTGTCACTAAATATGTTCTTTTACGGCGATTACAATTACATTTTACCATTCTTTATAAATGTCGTTAAAACTTATAGCAACATTGGATCTAATGGAAATTAACTAAGGCCGCTAAAGATTTTAGCATTATTTATGTCCCTAAAAGTTATTTTAGTTGTAGTGATAAGTATCTGGTCATCAAGATTTACTTAATTTTCTAAAAACATTAGTAAATCCTAGTAATTGATCCATTAAAATCCTCTCCAACTTGGATTCAGATCATCATTTAATACTCCCTCTGTTAAAGAATGACAAAAGTCCCACATCGGTGGTTAATGAGATGGGTGGACTCCTTATAAGGCTTGGAGAATCCTCCCTCCTTTGCGCTACCTTTTGGAGTGTGAGTTAGGCCTAAGACCTAATTTAACATGGTATCAGAGCAGGGCCCGTCTCACCCGATGTTGGGACCCCCCAAAAAAAAATTGCCCATGCACCAGATGCTAAGCACTGGGCGTGAGGTGGGGTGTTAAAGAATGACAAAAGTCCCACATCGGTGGTTAATGAGATGGGTGGACTCCTTATAAGGCTTGGGCAATCCTCCTCCCTTTGAGCTAGCTTTTGGAGTGTGA